TTTTTAAGCAAGTGGCAGCCCTGTTCAAACTATAACCTTATTAAACTTTTCAGTCTGACACCAATATTGTTATACATGTTTCAGTTACCTAATTCCCTTGAATTAAAGTTGAATTTTATTTTTAAACAGGTGGTAATCCTCCAAAATGTTGTTTTGAAATAAAGCCTTTTCAAAAACATCTCTATTGATACCCATATTATAGTAATCATTTAACCTAATTGCATTTGATTTTTTAGCAGGTGGAAACCCTTTTGACGTTCTAACCTAAATATAAACCTTCTCCGCGGTGATATGAATACGTAGGTATCAATGTTTCCACAATCGGACCTCGATACCATGGAGTCTATCGATGTCAAACTTCAAGCAACTTTATTTTCGTTGTTTTGGTCGAATACTTGGACATCCTCCGATTCTATTTACTTGATTTTAAACATTTACAGTTTTAAATATTATAACACTTCGTTTCTAAACATTTTGAGTTTAATTTGCATAAAAATAATTTTGGCCGCCTAAATCGGCTACGTGCGTATGAAGCTAACTCAATTTCCAATTTTTGTTCTGCGTGACATTTTGATTTGACTTTTCGCTCAATGAAATCAAATGCAATCGCACGAAACCCATTTTCGAGTGATGCGAAAAACAAATTCGATGGCGTGCGTACCAAAACACAAGCCGCGAATATTAGGTTAGCCTGTTATGAACGAGAACGACAGCAGTGAACCTTCGCGAAGGCATCGCTGCCAGTTATAGCTACATATACTCTGTGGGGAAAGTCTCTAGTTTTGAACTGGTGCACTTCAAGTACATTTAGAATCACTACTAGTTCGCGATAAATGTCTTTTGCATGCAAACAACTGGCGAATTCAACATGGCGATGTCCTAGGAAGTGTCAATTGTCCCCCGCAGCATTACCTTTTCTATGGTTCAGAACCAGTCCTTAATTCGGCATATGGAATCTAGTTCGCTTTGCACCCCATTTTCTATAGTTCCGAACCAGTTGCAAACGAAAAAATTAACAAGATGTTTTTTCTTTGGGTTACCATGGTAGCAATTTTTAATTATTTGCAGAGAAATGTATTTTCAATCTGAAATCAAATTTGTTTGAATGAATGTAAATTAAAATTTGCATTTGAAAACACGTTTACATACCTTTGGCTGTAGTTGAATTTGCAGAGGTGCTGACTGTTATTGGTTATATTCCAGAAGGTTCAAAAATGTTAAGACGTTAACACAAATATTAGTTTTGTATTACCAAACTATAAAAAAGCATCTGCGACGTGCAAACTGAAAGCGTATTTGAACGAAAAACCTGCCAAGCAAAAAGCTATTTAAAGTAAACAAGCCGCCCGCTGCATCCCTTTTTCAGTAGATTCGAACTAGTTCAAAATTCACAAGATGAGATCTAGTTCGTTCTGCATCCCCTTTTCTATAGTTTTGAACCAGTTCTAAATTCGTCATTTTAGATATAGATTTCTAAAATTGTTTTTTAAAGGTACCACATATCGCTGCTTTTGAACTAGTTACTATCGGGCTGATCCGTTTTTGGCGATAAAGATCTAGTACGGAACTATAGATTTGATTCACCAGTTCGGGGTTTCCCTACAGGGTATGAATGCACGCTGCTTGGTCCACGAATACATACGCGTACGAACAACAGCGGACATTTTTTCTACCTAGCGTTCGCGAACGCGAAGTATCTGGACTGGTTTTATGCTTCTCGTTCGCGACGGAGAATCAATACAGAATATTTGATACGCGCACCTTTGCGTATAAAATCATAAATGTATGTACGCGAACGTTTGTATATGAATATTTGAGAACCCTGCTTTAAAGTGCGTTATAAGTATTTTCGTTTTCTTATCGTACCGGTAAAATTAAGTTTGTTATTCCGAAATTACGGCAACGCGAAAGTGAAGCTTGCCTACATTCGGCGTGAAATTTCTATAGTTGGCAATGCAACGTAAGCAACTAGGGCTGCGAAAAGTAAATTTTAGGTTAAAATAAATTACCTCTAACGAGAAATTTGAAAACAAGTTTTGTCAAAAAGTCTTTTTTGCTCATTTTTATCTGCAATCATAATATCGTTTTTAGGTTTTCACAAGATTTTTTATAATCAAGACTGGCAAATCTAAGCAAATGCTTGAAAAAGCTTATTTTGCATATATCTGGCAATATTCGACTTACGTGCTTATTTTGCATACTTGACAATATCTAATACATTTGGGGGAAAAAACGATGCAAATGCATGAAACAATGTGAATTAATACATATGTTTTTATACTTCTGCTACCACCTTGTAGAAATTCTAATTATTCAACAATTTTAAATGACAAGAGAAGGTCATTTTCGATTGATAATTTAAAAAATCATGTTTTCTTATACTATACGAGATTATTTAATAGAAATATTAAAAATATCTAAAAAAACCTTCATTGATTTAGCATATTTAAGAGGATATTTTGGTAATTTATCGAGTTTTTCATAGTGCTTATTTTTAATTTTTTCTGGTAGGGTTACCATTGAAAAACTTTCTTTCCTAACAAGAGCTGGTTCAAAAACCTACCAAAAAGGATGCTTTCCTACCATTTATTTTAATCAAGAAAACGGCGTTTGACAGCATTAAATACATTTATTTTTGCTGGTTTTTATACTTAAAATGCGATTTGCAGGTAAACAAAAAGTTCGTTTGACTTCTACATCCTCTAAATTTCGAGTAAATTGCGAAAAACCGAGAAAATTTCAAAAAATTCGCATAGTTTGTAATTTTAATAAAGCCTTCGTAGTAAATTACGGAAAAAATCGTGGCAGAAAATAAAATTCCGTCGTAGAATTTTTAATACATCGCGCATTTGCATACATATGTATCTTATGAAGTATGTGTTGAAGCTGCAACCTCTTAGTTAACTTTATTTTCTGTTATTTCGTAATCGTCTGGCAATCCTGTTCACTCTCTTGTCATTCGTTTCTGTTTTGTGGTTACATTTGTTTGTTTCGTTGAAAATCATTGTACGGTACTTTAAATTCCTTAAATTTACTATAAAAGGCGAGGAAACTCTTTTTTGTGCACAGATAAGCGGATGAATAATAAATTGTATTGGTAAATCGTGACTTTGCGTGTTTAATTAGTAACATT